CTTCTGTCACGGAATTCAAATTGTGTGCTTCAGACTTTATCAGTGATACTACTTTACCGTAGATTATCGCATGCATGTATTTTTCAGATGATAACGGCCAAACAAGTGATCTTCATGCCCTGCTGGTATCAGCTCCAGATGTGGATTTCGGTAAGGTTTGTTTCTGAATTCATGATAACTTGTTTCACTATATGACCATTTCGCCTGAATTGCTTACTATTTGGCCCGTCTTAAACTCGGTACTGGTATTCAGTGCTGGTTCAATATGCTCGTTCTCTCTCACTCACTCTCTCTCTCTCTCTCTCTCTCTCTCTCTCTCTCTCTCTCTCTCTCTCTCTCTCTATATATATATATATATATATATATATATATATATATATATATATATATATATATGTGTGTGTGTGTATTCTCTTTCTCCTTTTTTCCCTCTCTCACATCTTCTTTTCCTCCTTTTCTCCTCCCTACAGACACAGAATACCGACACATGCACGGAAACCATTTATCAAATAGCCCAGTAAATCTACTCCCCTCCACACCAGTCCACCAATTCCTCTCCACCTTGGACAGAGTGCGGCGACTCCACTCCCGTAGAAGTCTCCTCGGTCTTCGAAAAAAAAAAAAAAAAAAAAAAAAAAAAAAAAAAAAAAAAAAAAAAAAAAAAAAAAAAAAAAAAAAAAAAAAAAAAAAAAAAAAAAAAAAAAAAAAAAAAAAAAAAAAAAAAAAAAAAAAAAAAAAAAAAAAAAAAAAAAAAAAAAAAAAAAAAAAAAAAAAAAAAAAAAAAAAAAAAAAAAAAAAAAAAAAAAAAAAAAAAAAAAAAAAAAAAAAAAAAAAAAAAAAAAAAAAAAAAAAAAAAAAAAAAAAAAAAAAAAAAAAAAAAAAAAAAAAAAAAAAAAAAAAAAAAAAAAAAAAAAAAAAAAAAAAAAAAAAAAAAAAAAAAAAAAAAAAAAAAAAAAAAAAAAAAAAAAAAAAAAAAAAAAAAAAAAAAAAAAAAAAAAAAAAAAAAAAAAAAAAAAAAAAAAAAAAAAAAAAAAAAAAAAAAAAAAAAAAAAAAAAAAAAAAAAAAAAAAAAAAAAAAAAAAAAAAAAAAAAAAAAAAAAAAAAAAAAAAAAAAAAAAAAAAAAAAAAAAAAAAAAAAAAAAAAAAAAAAAAAAAAAAAAAAAAAAAAAAAAAAAAAAAAAAAAAAAAAAAAAAAAAAAAAAAAAAAAAAAAAAAAAAAAAAAAAAAAAAAAAAAAAAAAAAAAAAAAAAAAAAAAAAAAAAAAAAAAAAAAAAAAAAAAAAAAAAAAAAAAAAAAAAAAAAAAAAAAAAAAAAAAAAAAAAAAAAAAAAAAAAAAAAAAAAAAAAAAAAAAAAAAAAAAAAAAAAAAAAAAAAAAAAAAAAAAAAAAAAAAAAAAAAAAAAAAAAAAAAAAAAAAAAAAAAAAAAAAAAAAAAAAAAAAAAAAAAAAAAAAAAAAAAAAAAAAAAAAAAAAAAAAAAAAAAAAAAAAAAAAAAAAAAAAAAAAAAAAAAAAAAAAAAAAAAAAAAAAAAAAAAAAAAAAAAAAAAAAAAAAAAAAAAAAAAAAAAAAAAAAAAAAAAAAAAAAAAAAAAAAAAAAAAAAAAAAAAAAAAAAAAAAAAAAAAAAAAAAAAAAAAAAAAAAAAAAAAAAAAAAAAAAAAAAAAAAAAAAAAAAAAAAAAAAAAAAAAAAAAAAAAAAAAAAAAAAAAAAAAAAAAAAAAAAAAAAAAAAAAAAAAAAAAAAAAAAAAAAAAAAAAAAAAAAAAAAAAAAAAAAAAAAAAAAAAAAAAAAAAAAAAAAAAAAAAATGTCTGAGTAAAAATAGACAAAAGATTAAAGTAAATAAAAGAAATATGATAAATAAACGATTATGTAAATCAAGACGAGGCGATGATAACGATATTGATGATAATGACGAAAACGATAAAAAGTGATGATTTTCTATTCTCCTTTCCAAATAAATACCTCAAAACAGCAAAAGACAATTGAATTACTTAATTTCCAAATCACCGATCGATTCAGACCACCGCTTCCCATGACATTTTCTCACCACGACAGTCAAATACCCGGAGGCAACGCTGACGATGACCTGCCAGCTAAGGTCGGGGGCGGAGGGCCGGTGTCTCCCTATAAGCTCTTGCGCCCCAGCGGTCCTTCAGCTGAGCTCAGGGGAGAGGCCTGTCCCCTGCGGCTTCGAGGGGCACGCGCCTGTCGTCTGCTGTCCGCTTCCTGAGGGTGAGTCGGTGGGGGCTTATTTCCCTGGGCGACACACACGCACACATATACATACATAAATGATTTTACATCAGTTTCCCTTCTGTCACGGAATTCAAATTGTGTGCTTCAGACTTTATCAGTGATACTACTTTACCGTAGATTATCGCATGCATGTATTTTTCAGATGATAACGGCCAAACAAGTGATCTTCATGCCCTGCTGGTATCAGCTCCAGATGTGGATTTCGGTAAGGTTTGTTTCTGAATTCATGATAACTTGTTTCACTAT